AGCTTTGTGTATGTATGTGTAATGTGTATATATAGACACTTGTGTGTGTGAGATTTACATTGCTGTGCTTGAGAGCCACCATCTACCGGAACCAAATTCCCTGTATGTGTCTGCACATATACTTGGCCAATAAACACGATTCTGATTCTGATTCTGATTCTGATGGAGTGCTGCACCAGATGGCCTAGCCTCCACAGTCACCTGACCTAAACCCAGAGATGATTTAGGATGTGATGGACCGCAGAGTGAGGGTAAGAGGGCCAACAAGTGCTCAGCATCTCTGGGAACTCTTTCAAGACTGTTTTACAACCATTTAAGGTGACCACCTCATGAACCTCATCGAGAGAATGCCAAGAGTGTGCAAAGCAGTAATCAAAGCAAAGGGTGGATAGTTTTGAAGAATCTAAAATATAAAACATGTTTTGAGTTATTTCAAACTTGTTTGTTTACCAAACCAATCTTTCATTTTCAAAGTGCCCCAGATATTTTCTAAATTAATGTTGAAATCACACTAAAACCAACCAATCTGCGCCAGATCACAAAAGTACCAAATCACATATCTCTGGAGGAAACATCAAGAAGGTGATTATTCTCTCAGTCTTGGAGCTTGTTGTGGTAGTATAAAGTCACAGTGGTCCTGACCTCCTGCCACAAACATTCAATTCTAATCAGAACAGCGAAAAGTTATTCTTTCAACCCTGTAGTCCTGTGTTTGTCCGTTATATGTCATATGTAGCACCAGGGGCTTGGAGGAAGGCTGTCTCATTTCACTCTGTAGTGTACCACTGTACATGGTTGAAATGACAATAAAAGCCACTTGTTTTGACTCTGTCTGACATGGTTTGTAATACTGGGGCACCACAGGGCACAGTCCTATCCCCATTTTTATCTTGTACACCTAGTACAGCAGTACAGCAGTGAAACATGCCTAGTACAGCAGTGAAACATGCCACCTGTTCTATCAAGTTCTATGTAAGCAACTGGGTGTATTAAAGGTCGGCAGCAGTCAAACTACAGGGAGCTGATGAAGTAGTTTGGGTAGTGGTCTGGAGGCAATCCCCTGCATCTGAATGTCAGCAAAACGAAAAAACAAAACAAAAGAGATTATGGTTGACTTCCAGAGGGAAAAAAATTGCCACTGTAGTATCTCACAAAAGTGAGTACACCCATCAAATTTTTGTAAATATTTTGTTATATCCTTTCATGGGACAACATTGAAGATTTGACACTCTAATACAATGTAGTCAATGTGCAGCTTGTATAACAGTGTAAATGTGTTGTCCCCTCTAAATACCGCAACACACCGCCATTATTGCCTAAACTGCTGGCAACAAAAGTGAGTACACCACTAAGTGAAAATGTCCAAATTTTGCCCAATTAGCCATTTCTCTCCCTGTTTAATTTTACAAGGTCTCACATGCAAATGGGGAACAGGTGTGTTGAATTTGGTGTTATTGCTCTTACACTCTCTCATACTGGTCACTGGAAGTCTAACATGGCACATAATGACAAAGAATTCTCTGATGATCTGGAAAAAAAGAACTGTTACTATACATAAAGATGGCCTAGGCTATAAGAATATTGCCAACACTCTGAAACTGACCTGCAGCACGGTGGTCAAGACCATACAGCAGTTTAACAGGACAGGTTCCACTCAGAACAAACCTTGCCATGGTCGACCAAAGAAGGTGAATGCACGTGCTCAGCGTCATATCCAGAGGTTGTCTTTTAAAAATAGATGTATGAGTGCTGCCAGCATTGCTGCAAAGGTTGAAGATGTGGAGGGTAAGCCTGCCAGTGCTCAGACAATACGCCACACACTGCATCAAATGGCTGTTGTCCCAGAAGTAAGCCTCTTCCAAACATAATGCACAAGAAAGCCTGCAGACAGTTTGCTAAAGACAGGCAGAGTAAGGACATGGATTACCTGTGGCCTGATAAGACCAAGATAAACCTTTTAGTTCAGATGGTGTCAAGGGTCTGTGGCAGCAACTAGGTAAGGAGTACAAAGACAAGTGTGTCTTGCCTACAGTCAAGCATGGTGGTGGGATGTCATTGTTTGGGGCTGCATGAGTGCTCCTGGCACTAGGGAGCTACAGTTAATTGAGGAAACCATGAATGCCAACATGTACCTTGACATACTGAAGCAGAGCATGATCACCTCCTTTCAGATACTGGGCCACAGGACAGTATTCCAACATGATAACAACCCCAAACACACCTCCACAAAGACCAGTGCCTTGCTAAATAAACTGAAGGTAAAGGTACTTGAGAATCGTCTTGCTGTTGCTCATGATTTTCCCTGCACCAGTCCATCAAACTTCTGCTAGACATAAGACTTCGAGACGATAGTCATCGAAGACCTTTAGCACTTGTGCGAGGTATCCCGTTTGGTAGAGTGAGCTGACATTCCATGTCCCGATGCGAGTTAATATCCTTGCGTTGAGGAATGGTCGATCCATCGAGGGACGGACGGTCACAAGACTTTGATCCGTCCCCGCGATTGACCTTCCTCTTCGCTAATGGCTTGTTGGTTTTCACTTGTCGTTTCTGTAGCACAACAGGTTTTTACAAGAAGGTGTTGCTAGCCCCAACCTAACCCTCCTCCTTTATCCGGGCTTGGGACCGGCACTGGGAAGCGAGCTATCCAGAGGCGGAGTACCTATGTCCTACGGCATACCAGAGATGTTCATTAGCCTCCTGAGAAACATCTACCACGAGTCAAGCTGTTGTGTCCGTACAGATAGTGGGATTTCGGACTTGTTTGAGATCAAGACGGGAGTCCAACAAGGCTGCGTTATTTCGCCATTCCTTTTTTGTGCTAGCTGTGGATTTCATCATGTGACATGCCCTGCGAGATGGCGAGCACGGAGTTCAAGGAAATGACAGATGACGAATTGCAGATCTTGATTTCACAGATGACATTGCGCTGCTTGGATCTACTCAACGCTCCAATTGCGATTTGACCGCCATACTGGAAAATGAAGCGTCAAAGTTTGGACTGCGGATTAGCGCTGCGAAAAGCAAAGTCATACGGATCAGTTATGCCAGAGCCACTGCCCGCTTGATGAAGTCAATCAGTTCATGTATCTGGGCAGTGTGATAACACGGTGGCTCAGACAAGGACATCGTCTGTTGGCTCGGAAAGGCAGCATCGGCCATGCACAACTTGAGTTTGGAGATTGACCACCATCTCGATATCATCTAAAGTCCATTTGTTCAATACGATAGTTGTACCGATGGCTATCTATGCGAGTGAAACATGGAAGTCAACGGCAACAATCATCCGACGACTGAATGTTTTCCAACAGCGCGGCCTCCAATGGATCCTCAAGATTTCGTATCGAGATCATGTTACCAACAAGGAGGTACTTCAGCGCACTGCCTCACGACCGCTAGCGGACATGGTATTGGAGCGATGATTCCGTTTTGCCGGTCACGTTCTTTGCCAACACCCGGAACGATTACCAAGACAGCCATGTCGTGGAGACCCGCCAAGGGTTCACAGAGCCGTGGACAACCAAAACAGACATGGAGACGGTCATTCATTGAGGACCTGAAAGCAGTCGATCTTTCATGGGACGAGGCTGAAGGTGTGGCTGCAAACCGAGCTTGTTGGCGATCCCTTGCCGCCCAATGCGCCATGCGGCGCAGGAGGAACTAAGTCTAAGTCTAAGCTAAAGGTACTTGACTAGCCAAGCATGTCTCTAGACTTAAACCCTATTGAGCGTCTGTGGGGCATCCTCAAATGGAAGGTGGAGGAGTGCAAGGTCTCTAACAACCACCAACTCCATGATGTCATCATGGAGGAGTGAAAGAGGATTCCATTGGCACCCTGTGAAGCTCTAGTGAACTCCATGCCCAACAGAGTTAAGGCAGTGTTGGAAAATAATGCTGCTCAGACAAAATATTGACATTTTGGGTACAGTTTGGACATTTTCACGTGTTCTCACTTTTGTTGCCAGCGGTTTAGACATTAATGGCTGTATGTTGAGTCATTTTGAGGGGAAAGCAAATAACACTGTTATACAAGCTGTACACTGACTACTTTGCATTGTATCAAAGTGTCATATCTTCAATAGTGTCCAATGAAAGGATATAACAACATATTTACAAAAATGTGAGGGGTGTACTCACTTTTGTGAGACACTGTATATAAAGGCCCCCACGGAAATAAAAATAATAAAAAGCACAGGGGGAAAAACAACAAAAATATAACATATGCCTAAGGTGTTTAATAAAATTCATGATGGAAACCATGTCCTGGCTAACAGTACATTTGTATGTATATTCAAGTTTAAAAAAAAAAATCACTCATAAAGGGTTGTATAGCTCAAGAGGGATTATAAAAGTTGTGCAATAAAAACAAAATTCATATTGCTGCTGTAGACTTCTCCAGAATTTTCTTTCTCCCACACACAAACTGAAATCAGCTGATTGTAGCACAAGTACACATGAAGAAAAAGCATGTTTGTCTGATGTTTATTCCTTTATATCCACTTGTTGTTCAGATACTTGTGTTACTAAGGTTCCTCAGTTACCAGAATTAAAACTAATGTAATTACTGAATTTAGTACAGTAGCGTGATACTGCAATACTGAAAAATGTAATGGGTTACATGTAACTTTGTAACGTGTTAATTTGTTACTTTGTAATGCATTGTTTAGCTATATGATATAGTTTAAAAATTGAGAATGACAAAACTGAGAATTCTGAGACAGCTGAGGTTTCGCATTCTGGCTTCTGTTTACCTTTTTCAGGCAGCTGCCCCCCACGGATGGACAATGTGATAAATGTTGTGTTGAAAGAGCTGTAACTTCACAGTGACACAAAACACAAGCGAAAGAGAGCTTTATTTTGAATTTAACAGAAATTAGCAGTAAACAAATTAGAACAAGAAAACAGTTGAAAGACTAACTTTTGTAGATTTTAATTTAGCATTGACATGATAAATAAAAAAATTTCACACAATGAGTAATTAACAACAGTATCCAAGACTGCATGTATTGAAATCAGTATTAATCTATTTAGTTTGATTCTAGTGAAAATGTGCAATATGTGGTCGAAACAGTAAAACAGATGATTAATTTTAGTTTATCAAGAGCTTATTTCATGTTAATACATTTTGAAGGAAGTAGTTTGTATCAGTTTGTATCACTCACAAAAACCTGATTAAAAGTCATTCGATTTTTAATATTCTGATTACATTTCATATCTAGTCTCAATCATATAGTTAAGATTTAAGTAAATTTAACATTTAAACATTTAAAATACCCAAACTACATTTATTGATTCTAACCGTCCATATTAAAAATATAAAAAATCCCTACAGTCCCTACAGTCACAGAAAAACTTGATATCTGAATCTTTCACATGTTCAGATTGGCTGGTCATTTCCTGGAGTTGCTTGACTAGTAGCGCTGGTGTTGGTGTAATCGTCATCATCTCTCTTCTACAATCTGTATTTAAAAATAAAGTTTATTAGTCCCAGAGTTATGAAGTGTAATCTGATCTCAGGGCTCTGACAAGATCGACAGTTTTTAACTGCAGCCTTCCTGCTTGCACTTGCATCATTTCGCTTATTATATAGTAATACCTGTTGTAACTACTGCAGTCTATTTGATTTGATAACAGCATGTTTTCAGTTATTTTGTAAGTGATTTATTGCCAACAACTGATTTATTGAGAGCTGTTAATTACGGATTTTATTTTCTTCCAAGAAAGAGCACTATGCATATTATCATTAGAAGACAGCATTTCCCAGAATCCTTTGCAGTTGAGATGGCGCTCATGTTTAGCTAGAAAAAGAAAAGTTTGCCATTATATATTTTGCTCTGATGTTGGGCAGTTTTTTGTGTGGTACACCCTTTTTTTGAACTCTCATATAAAGACTATCTTGTCTATAACTGATGTCCTGCTCATTTTCTTTGCTAGGTGGATTTTCTACAACAATGCTAATCAACGCAATAAAATAGAATAAAGTAGTACCTCAAGGTTATTGTCCTTGCACCACCTTTTGAAGAATTCTTTGACTTTTTTTTCTTTCTCTTCTCTCTCTTCCCCTTGTAGGGTTTCATTGTTCTTCCAGTAAACCCGAAACATGTCATCAGAAAAACAATCTAGGAGAAGCTTGGACACCTGACATCAGAGACAGCAACATAAAATCACATAATACACAGCCAAAGTTGTCTTATGGAGATACCTAAAAAAAGAACACACAGCTCATGAAAATAAAGGATGTAGTTCTCACCTTTGATTTGGGGATTAGTTCTCCTTTATCTGGGTTATTCTTGCGATAGAAATATGCTTTTTCTAGAGGGTCCATATTTTTCATCCCATAGTCAAAAGGGATGTGCTAAAATGAAATGTTACAGCGAAACCTGTGTTTTATATTCACATGCAAATAATTGCCCAGTGCAGGTTGGACACATATTTTTAAAAAATTGAACATTTTAAGAAATGTTTGATGGATTAATAAAACTCACAATAACGTCAAAATCTTTTCCCTCCCTATAAGGAAACTGTTTACACAGTTCTTCTCTCAAATTTTCCTTGAATTCCTGAAGGATGGAGTTGAGAACGTGTGTTATTATTATTATTTTGTTGATCTTCTTTTATAAGCCGTTCTCTTTCTTACCTTCCAGTTTTCTGTTCCTTCTTTTTTCTTTAATTGAGAAGCAGTGGAAAGGGAGAGAGAAAAAAGGATTTATTCAGTGCAGAAAACACACAGAAAGGACAATTACATGAAACTACATTTTTAAAGAGAATCTATTTTGTACTCAATTTCTCTATTTCTATTTCAAACAGAATTTTTGTAATACACCAAATTTGAACTGTTCCAAAACTTTTTTTAAATATTGATTTACAGCTTCGTGTTTTAGTGCATACATGGAAAATGACTTTTGGAAAATAGTATTGTATGCCTTCCTTGTTCCCAGAGGGCCGTGTGATAAGACAGTGTCAGAATAGCACACACCATATGCTATCATCAACCTCTAAGGCTGATCTCATGGTATTGGGTCTGTGACCCAGTGTTTATGTTTTGATTAAATAGTATTCTTTGATTTAATAATATTTTTGGTTCTGTTCACCTGTCTTCCCTGTGTCCATGTCTCATGTGTAGTCTGTCATGTCTCTCATGCATGTTTAGTTCTGCCTCTGTGTTTGTTTCAGCTGTTTCCCAGTCATGTCTCTTGTGCCCTCTGTTATATATGTTCAGTCAGCCCGTGTCTTAGTGTGTGTCTTTTGTTTCCTGTTTTACTTGACAGTCTCATGCGTGTTTAGTGTATTCAGTTTTGTTTCTTCCCCGCCATTGTGTCTGATTAGTCCCAGCTGTGTTACCCTCCTGTGTCTCTTTCCCTCATTATCCTTTGTGTATTTAAGCCCTCTGTTTCCCTCTGCCCATTGTCATGTCGCTGTGTGTTTCTTCCGTGCTCCTCGGTTCCCTCATCACTCCCTGTTCCAAGTTTTAGTTTCTAATTTCCGAATTTTGTATTTAGCTTGTGCTCTACGTATCCAGCAATAAAGCTGCCTCTTTTCATTCATTATGTTGGGTTAGGAGTCCTACATGGGTCCTCATGCTCCCTGCGACACAGCTTACCTTGACAACTGATTTTGTTTTTTGTTTTTTTTCCCTAGTAGCAGCTTGGTTATGATGAACTTATTAGTTTTTCCCTTCAACTCATGCTTTCCCAGTTTCAACTAAGGAAAATAATATTGTAGGTTTTGTTGATGAATCATCAAAGATTACAAGACTGCACGAAACAAGCCCAGACATGTCTGAGAGCAAGCAACACTGCTTCATCCTCTGATGATGATTTAGACTGTCTTACATGCACATGGCTTTTTTGGTGTAAGCAGCAATTTCTGTGCATTCTGGCCTTTTGTTGAAATGTAAATGATTCTGTAAACTTCACTCTCTTTGTATTCATGGATTTTCCAGTAAACCCTAAGTATCTCATCAGAAAACTAGGAGAAGCCTGACATCAGAAACAGCAACATAAATATGACACATTACACAGCCAAATTTGTCTCATGGAGATGCATTAAAAAAAAGAACACACAGCCCATGGAAATAAAGCCTGTAGTTATCACCTTTGACTTGAGGATTGGGATATATTTATAATGGTTATTCTTGTGATTGAAATATGCACTTTTAATACAGGCACATAAAAACTGCATACCCTGGCTTGACCCACACAGCGGTACAGGTCCCGTTTCATGACCCTCTGTAGAATCTTTGTTGCCTTCTTCAAGTTTTTTTCTTCCTCCCCTCCTTCCATGGAGGAAGATTCCTTCTTTTCCTCCTTGGGGTGACACATTTTTTCAATCACATGATCTACAGAGTAAACAGATAAATTGGAAGATGAGTAAGTTCAAACACGAAACAGCTCACAAAGTCATCAGTAGGGTCTTACAAATTTTTGTTTTTACATAAATTTGTATCACAAAAAACCCCTAACTGGATGATTATAGCAACATTATTAAATATAATGAACATAGTAAAGATCCACTGCAGATAAGACTAGTTTAAATAAATATGCAGTCAAATTAATTTAATAGTGTCAGTCAAAAGGCACATAGTTCTGTTTGTGTTGTCCATAATCTTTAACAATTTGTATCTGTATTTGAAGATGGTTTATCTGAAATAAACTGAATGAGAAAAAGAAAAACTGTTACAGTTAAAAAAAAAAAAGTGCATGCAAAGACAATTTATAATTTATCCACACAGATTAAAGACGCTACCTGTCAGCTTTATGTATGCTTCCATGTCACCTTTAGCTTCAGAGAGAGAAAGCCACTCCCCTTTTGAACTTTTAATTTTGAAGTCTGGGTGGTCATCTACTAGTAAGAAGGCATCTCTGATCCTGGATATATAATTACCAAACATATGACTTCAGGGGCACAACTGCATATAAAGCTAAATTTTGGGTAGTATTAAAAATGGAACTGTAGGTACTCACATCATTTCTACAGCCATTTTTATCTTGTGCTTGCAGGCTCTTCTGTGGATAGAGAGCCTTGTGTGGAATATGTCATAAAGATTTTCTATTTCCTGTTAACAGCAAAGTTTAGTCATTGCCAGTCAGTTAAAATAATTTCTTTTAAAAAATTGATTAAAAAAAAAAAACAGAGGTCAATACTTTGTCTCTAGAGCAAATGTGTTTCCGTCCATCCTCCTCCACATCACACACCCTGGCAAGCATGATGAAGCGCTGATGGTCAAAGCTGTTCGGAATCCCCAGCTGTTGGCAGTCCCTGAGATGGGAGAGAGGAACCATTGAAACATTGCCCCCACAAAAAACCCCACCAAGTCTGCTTCAGATAGTAAATCTAACTATCTGTATACAGAAAACAGTACAAAGTACTTTTGCATATTGCATCAAAAACAGGATTTTTCTTTTGTGAAGTGAGCTTCACCTGGCAACGTAGTCAAACTTGTCAACATCAATCCCAGTTTCCTTGTTTGACACAATTTCATAGAGAAAGGATTTTTCCTCCTTTCGACCTTTGTACGACCACTGTGGAGACAAAGCCAGATGAGAAACATTAGACACTGAGTTCGGGAGCAAAGACAATACTTAATTCACCCAACTGACCTTCGGAGGTCCTCTGATCAGTTCCTCAATGAACTCCAGGTCAGTTTTATCGTCGCCTTCTATTTTCATTCCATACTCCCTCATCATGTCCTTCAGGCCGTCTGTGTTCTCCAGTAGGTGATTAAACATTTCAATAGAGGCATCCTCATGCTGCAAGAATACACAGGTGGATGTTTTAGTGGGAGCAGATTAAAGTGAAAAAAACAAAACAAGCATGCAAATATTATATATATATATATAAAAAAAAAAAAACACCCAGCACGCCCCTGCGGGCGGTTTATCCTTCAAGCTCGGGTCCTCTACCAGAGGCCTGGGAGCTTGAGGGTCCTGCGCAGTATCTTAGCTGTTCCCAGGAC